GAAGGCTTTCACGGCCGGTGTTAATTGAACTAAAATTAGAACTAAAACTAGTACTAACACTAGAAACTTTCGGGTTTTGTCGTGCGTCTTTTAAGAAAAGGGTTGACGTTTCGGATGCCATGTTGCAACCTTCTTCAGAAACTGGTTCGAAGTTTCGGAAGAAGGATCAGGTTTCAGAAACTTCGAAGAGAACTTCGAACCAGTTTCTGAAGAAGATTGCAACATGGCATCAAACCTTCAACGAAACGTCAAACCTTTTCTTCAAAGTCGCACGGCAAAACCCGAAGGTTTCTAGTGTTAGTTCTAGTTGTAGTTCTAATTTTAGTTCAAATAAATATGTATCGTTGTTCGAAACAGGGTAACATATCACTTTATTAAATGAAGTGACATTACCTTGTGCTTTCCCGAGAAAATTCAACAATACCAACATCAAAATTATAAAGTTCTAACGTGCACCGAAAAATATTCAGATCAACAATACCAACCTCAAAATTATGAAGTTCTAACATGCACCGAAAAATATTCCGTATGTGCACGCTAAACGTGACGTCATCGCTGTGATGACGTTTAGCGTGTACGTAATTTTTTAATTTACGTACAGGTGTCCCAATTTCGATGTCCACATATTCTATCTCCGAAACTAAAAGAGATAGAAAAAAAAGTAGCTTACATGTCATGATCTCGTTTTTCGAGAAAATGTTAATGCCGAAAACTCCGAACAGCTATCGTCTTTTGTTTTCGCCCTATCAGCAAAAACTGCAAATTTTGCGAAAACGACAATCGCGAATATCTCACTTATTATCAAAGATGGAGTATTATAAATAAAACATTATATGGGCAACTTTTTACGAAGAATTCAGTGGCGTAGGTAGAATTTTTTTCCCATCTTTTATTTTCGAGATTTTAGACGTAACTTTATTTTTTTAAATGGAAACCATAGTTGGCTATGACCTAAAATAATTTGTTATTTTCTTCTGATGACAAATATATATAGGTTGTGGGGTATATTTCTTATAGTTATTGAATAATTAACAAAAATTCATTTTGTTTTATCTAATCGTAAAACTAATTTATGTATTTAAAAGTTAATGTTTCTATGGTGATAACCATACATACTATGATGGAATATAATGTATCAAATAATTGACAAAGTTTGTATTTAAAAATTCGATAACAACTCTGGCATTATGTGCTGGTACGAAGCACCAGCAACATGCTGGTATGTGTGTCAATGTATAACGAAACTGAATAAAACTTTACAATGAATTTCGAAAATTATGAAAACTGTAACATGATGGAATGCTATATGTTATTAGATAAGAATGCGACGTTAGCCGCGGAATTATATTTCACAAGGTATCCGGAAAGAAGACAACCGCACGTAAGAACCTTCAGCCGGTTAGCAGAAAATTGAATAGATTTTTGGTCCTTCCCCAAACCAGGTGCAAAAACATACCAAAATGACTGGCAAGAGGATGAAGTCAATGTGTTGGCTTCACTTGCGATAAATCCATCAACATCTTGCAGAGAAATTGAACAAGACGTCTGACCCAAAAGCCGCTGCTACCGAATGTGAAAGAAAAATAAGTATAAACCATACAAAGCGGGGCTAACTCATTATTTACGTGCCGGAGATGTCAATCTAAGATTAGAATTTTGTAGATGATATTTAGAAAAATTAAATAATCTGCTATTTGTTCAAAATATCATCTGGACCGATGAAGTCTCTGAGTGTTCAAAGAAGATTAGGGTTCAATGTATGGTGTGCCCTTTTAGATAATAGAATTTTCCCAGTAAACAAGAAACATCTGTGAAACATTTCAATTTTAACGTACAGTGAATTAACTGAAACATTTTACAAGTACGTTTCATATACGTGACAGATACGATTGTTACGAAACGTATCTAAAGATATGTATCAAATACATCTCAGTAGGAATATTTATGAAATATCATTAAAATATGTAGCAGAAACATTTCATTTGAAACATGTCTGAATATCTTCATCAGCGCCTGTGAACGCATGCGCATGTTCCAGGGCTCGGTGACTCATCAGCGTTTTGTCACGACTTGTTCTATTGTGCGTTTTGTGCTGTTCAGTTCTGTTCTCAGTTCCTTCGAATCGTTTTCTATATATCTGTTCTGTGGCTCGAATATTGGTTTAGAATGATGCAGGCAAGTTGTTTTATATATCACCACTCGATTTAGTTATTTTTAAATTTATCTAAAAACATTCTTGTTTAAAATCTTGTAATTGAATTTAACCGAAGAATATTATATTGACACAAAGTTATTCCTTAACCAACGCGATGTATTCGCTGCGACGGCGATTGTTACGCTTGATAATGTTGTCGCCAAGTCGACACGGCGGCAAATGAACATGCACAAACGTGCCCAAACCGACTTTTTCAACTGTCAGGTGACAACGACAAAAACCGTGGGTGTAGCGATATTTTCGCGTCGGTTTGGGTATGTTCATTTGCCGCCGCTCCGTGTTGACCTGACGACAACGTCATGCGAAACAATCGCCGTTACAGCGAATAAATCGCGTTGGTTAAGGAGGAGTTTAAAACTTTTTCCCTGACCGAATTCTAATTTAAACATACATTTTAGTGGCAGTTAGGAAGAGCTTCCATTTAACTGATAAAGAATATGAAGTGGTAGTAAGCAATTGGTTACGACAAGCGAATTTACGTTATAATAAGCGAAATAAGGAAACCGCAGATGAGATAATAATAATAAAGAATATTGTTATTTTCTTTTAGTATTCTTTCTTTCGTTTACTCGTCGCAATACTGAAAACGTAGTGCAAGAATCGCATCTAAAATATGAAACAAATTTAAAAATTTTGTGTTGCCATTTCTCCATATATGTATAATTTATGTAGTTTTGTACTTTTATGTTTTAGTTTTATGTAGGTTATTTAAATTTTAGTTAAATTTCTTAGTCTTGAACAATCATAAAAAGATGATGTAAGAGATCCCCAGCTTCTTCAGACTACAAGTAAAGAAGACCTATTTTGTAAAAGTCTTATTATTATAAGTGAGACCACATGTTGTAAAATTCTTTTTATCAAGAAAAATAAACAATTCCAAGACTGTACACATCGTTTGTGGTACATTACTTGTTTTATTGTATTATCTGACATGTAAATTGTCATGTAACTGTTTTTGTAAGTTATTTTGTAATACTGATAGTTTCTCTTTACAAAAAGAATTTTACAACATGTGATATCTCCAATAACTAAGATAAAAAAAAATGTTAATTATATTATTATAATTATTATTATTAAGTATATTATAGGTATTCTTTACTTGTAGTCTGAAGAAGCTGGGGAGCTCTGGCGAAACATCACAAATATATGTGTTTTAATTGAAACAAAGTTTCGTTTGAGAAAAAAAAATTCTGTAGGTTATTCATATATAAATAGAAGTAAAAATAATTAAAAATACCACTAATATGATCTAAATTTAACTTTATATTTAAATGACCTACATAAATTATTGGAATGTTTATGTTTAATTTGTTTACAAATAAGAATTTTATTTTAGTTACCATTTTAATATATTTTGTATACATATTTACTAAATATATTTAATGCATACCTACTCTTATACTTACTTTATATGTCTTAATCAATGAGAAAACTGAATAGTAGAAATTATTGATTGATAATTTTGAAATTTGGTACAGTAGGCGGTAAGTAACAAGTATCGTACTTCTATTATTATTTTTCCTACCTTAAGGTATGATTTTGTTGCATATAGTATTTACCATAAAAACTTAAACTAAGGTAAATACCTCAATATATTAAGGCAGCATATTGAGCCTTTGGTCGATAATTTGCCATTAAATATGTCTCAAATGATATATTTTCAATATGACGGAGCACCAGCACATAATGCCAGAGTTGTTAGTGAATTTTTAAATACTGCTACAAACTTTGGCAATAATTGGAAACAATGTCTTCCATCATGGTATGGTTATCACCATAACAACAGTTAAGTTTTAAATACATACAATAGTTTCAAAAAGAACAAAAAAAATTGATACAGTATGTTCCATCATAGTATGTATATGGTATGTATGGTTATCACCATAGCAACATTAACTTTTAAATACATACATTAGTTTTAGGTAGAACAAAATGAAATTTTGTTAATTATTCAATAACTATAAGAAATATACCCCAAAAACTATATATATTTGTTATCAGAAGAAAATAACAAATTATTTTAGGTCATAGCCCGCTATGGTTTCCAATAAAAAAATTAACTTACGTCTAAAATCTCGAAAATAAAAGATGGGAAAAAAATTCTTCCTACGCCACTGAATTCTTCGTAAAAAGTTGCCCATATAATGTTTTATTTATAATACTCCATCGTTGATAATAAGTGAGATATTCGCGATTGTCGTTTTCGCAAAATTTTCACTTTTTGCCGATAGGGCGAAAACAAAAGACGATAGCTGTTCGGAGTTTTCGGCATTAGCATTTTCTCCAAAAACGAGATCATGACATGTAAGTTCCTTTTTTTGTATCTCTTTTAGTTTCGAAGATAGCCTATGAGGACATCGAAATTGGGACACCCTATACACGTTAGCGTGTACCTAGACACTTCCGTATTTTTACTTGTATCACTTTTATTTGTACTGTTTGGGTATTTACCCTGGCCCGGCCGGGGTAAATATCCGGATAAATACCCATTTTATAAATACCTACCCGCCGGGTATTTACCCAGCGCCTATCACTGATCCCGAATATAAATAAATAAAGTAAGTAATGCCATAATTGTTAGTATAGGCAACTTATTTTACAGGTATTATTGCACATACAATTTTAATGCATTAAATTATTACCAATTTACTGCAAAGATTATGTATGAATGTTTTATTATGTTTTTTAATTATTTTAACCCTAAAAAATTTTTAAATGTTTTAAGTCGCGCTTTGAATCGCACTGTCACAAAGCGCCATCTTTTGTTCATACTTTAATTTAAACAGATTCTTTCACCAGACCGTGAGGTTTTTTGACCATCGAGAAAGGCTTCGTCGTCATCGTCAAAAGAACACCAACCATGTCAGAAGAAATGGCCAAGGAAGACCTGTCATGTGTGGAACCTATCAAAACGAATGAATCTAACGAACCCGAACGTTCGTTAAACGGCAACGAGAAGGTAACGAAAACCAAAATTATTTTTTCACATAGAGTGTTTACATTTATAAAATTCCCCACATTTCTTTTCACGCCGTTCAGTTTAATTGAGGTCACAAGTTCACCATCCAAGAACTAAATAATCAGACCGTGATTAATGTTTTTGATGGTTTGTCTTTTCCAGTAGGAAATTCCTTTAATTGTTCGATTTTTTTAAGGTTAAGGTTGAGGACCCTAACCTCTCAAAAGAAGGGAATATGTCAGAATATGATAGTGCAGGGAGTTATAGCGATAGGGATGCCTCTCCTAGTGGGTATCGATCAGAAGGAAGTGTTAATTTTGAAAGAGAAGAAGGCGACGGTCAGGAAAGTGCACCCACTAAAAAAATTGATGATGACGAAGATAAGAAAAACCCACAGTATATTCCAAAAAGAGGGACATTTTATGAACATGATGATAGAACAGGAGAAGATTTGTAAGTTATTTGTATTAAATCTAACATAAGTTTTAAATGATTTTTTTTAATTAATAGAGAAGATGAAGAAGAGGTGAAAGACGATAAAGATTCTAAAAAAAAAGTGTGGCAGGATAAAAAGGAAAGGTGGTCACATGATAGATTTAATGATAATGAACAGGCTCCAAAATCTAGAGCGGAACTAATTTCAACTTATGGGTATGATATTCGCAATGAAGATGGACCTCCTAAAGCAAGGAGACGTAGACGTTACGGGTAAGTAACTTTTTTAATAATCACTCTCATAATTATTACAGGTGTGAAGTTATCCATAAATCCGCAACCAATACGATTTGGGTCACCATATTTCACATACAGGTCAGTCTTAACACTCAAGAACAGCTTACAACCCCTATTTGGTAAAAAAAAGAATTTTTCAACCCCCACCCCCGAGAAAGGGACGTTTTCACCTTGTAGGGTACCTTATAATTACGCCAAATTCGACCACATAATAGAATACAGTTCTAAATATTTTTATCACTTTTCAAAACACCCTAAACCTTAATGATTTTTGAGAAAGAAAATTAACATAAACTGCGGAAGGGACTTTGAGGGTGAATTTGACCCGGATGGCCACTTCTGAAATTGATGAAATTTTAGCCCTTTGCGCTCGTATGCCGCCATATAATCGCCACAATACGTTTAAGCTTTGCACTCGTTTGTCGCCGTATAGGTGGCACACCATGTTAAACCACTTCAGTTCACATGTGCACCATTTTTGCGTTGTGAATGTTACTTACAAGGGAAGTATCAGAACTGTCCCTCACTGATTTTGTTGAAATTTGGTACAGCGATAGTATGGCGAAAAATAAGGTTTACGTATTTTTTATACGTGCTAATAAAGCCCCTGGGGCGAGTTATAAGGGTTGGAAATCGGGGCGAAAAATAAACAGGGTGTCCCTCAAAAGTGACTCACCCCCATATTTTTCTTTATTATTGGTGATATAAGAAAACCATTTGGAATGCATAGTTAGGTCGCTAAAACGGATTATTACAACATGAAATCATTCTTTTTGTACTTCCGGTTATACCGGATGTGGGTACTAATTTCGCTATTTTTTTAAATCTATAATTTTTTTTTCTTCAGTTGGGTTGATAGTATAATTTCACATAACTTTTACTTGAAAAAATTTTCACGATAGCTTATAATTTTTGAAAAAAAAATTATTTTCGTTATTTTATAACGTTTCAGTACCTTCGGAAAATGTATTACAACTTTTGACGCATAGTAGCTAGGTTAATAGTATAAACTACGTTATGTCCCTCTTGATTGGCTATTTCTCGAGCAGTGATCACTGCTATGCTTTAGTCAGTGGTTCTTTTTTAATAATGGTGTAAATTAACAGTTGCATTAAATTAGTTTTAAAAGAATAACGCGATCAAACAATTAAGTTAATTCAATTATTTTTGATGTTTTATTTTTTTCTTTATTTTTTGTTCTTTTACACTAAATGTTCTGTAGCTGATAGTAATTTACAATGTCCATTGTACATTATAATTTGGATTGTTTACTTTATTTTAGTTAAAACCTCTCAGATCACCTGACCTCACACCTTTAGATTCTTTTTATGGGGTAAAATCAAACATGAGCTGTATAATACACCAGTATGGTCTCGTGAAGTATTAGAAAATAGATCGAGTTAGAAATTGTATTACCTAAATATCTCCACAGGAATAACGTCGAGTCGGTAGATCGACAATTCGCAAAATACAATTATGTCAAAATCGAGGCGGGAGCATTTTGAAAATTTAGAAAATTAGTTTTTTTGAACTTACAATTGAATTAAATTTAATTGTTGGATAGCGTTTTTCTTTTAAAACTAATTTAATACAACTGTTAATTTACACCATTATCAAAAAAGAACCACTGACTAAAGCATAGCAGTGATCACTGCTCGAGAAATAGCAAATCAAGAGGGACATAACGTAGTTTATACTATTAACCTAGCTACTATGCGTCAAAAGTTGTAATACATTTTCCGAAGGTACTGAAACGTTATAAAATAACGAAAATAATTTTTTTTTCAAAAATTATAAGCGTTCGTGAAAACTTTTTCAAGTAAAAGTTATGTGAAATTATACTGTCTACCCAACTGAAGAAAAAAAAATTGTAGATTTAAATAAATAGCGAATTTAGTACTCACATCCGGTGTAACCGGAAGTACAAAAAGCATGATTTCATGTGCATTCCAAATGGTTTTCTTATATCACCAATAATAAAGAAAAATATGGGGGTGAGCCACTTTTGAGGGACACCCGGTATATTCGCTTATAAGCTGAAAACGAAAATAGTTATCGAAATGTGGAAAATGTAAACTGATATTCAAAGAGCTTTCCATTGATATATCACACATATATCTGCCTCAGGGGGTAAACTACCCCTAGTTTTTTGGAATATTTTAAAAACTACCCTGTCGATTTTGGCGATATTATGTGTCCTTATAGTACGTTTAAAAATAATAATGACGTGTTTTTTCTTATTTGCCTCTGACCAACCCCTGCAAAATTACGGGGTATGATAGATAACCCCTTTCCTTAAGAATAATGTGATAAACTGTTACACTTTTGAAGATAACCATAAGTTAGTTGTAAATTAAGATTTACGCTGTAAATTAAACCCTATACGACATTAAGGGGTGGCTGGGGTTAACTACCCTAACCACCCGAAAAATAATTTTTTTTTTACGAAAATTGTTTGTAATATGTATTTGGCCACGATGATTTTTTATACGTTAGGTAGTACTATTGTAAGAACTTACAAGGGTTGGAAGTTTGGGGTAGAAAATATATTTTCGTTAATAACTTTCATACTGCTACAGAAAAAGCTTTTTTATCCTTATTCTATTTAAATAACACAAAAGTTAGGATAATTATATAAATATTTATTAATAATGAGTTAAAGAGCAATTGAAAAAAAAATGGTTAAGTATCACAAATTGTATTCTACATTGTTAGAATCCTCTGGTACGTTTGGACCGAGGGTAATAAAAAATACAATGTTCAAAGCAGATAACATATTCGTTTTGGCATCAAAGTCTGGTAAACTGACTTCTGCTCATATGAAATTGGCTACAAAATGTCTATTTCCCAAACACCGGACTCAAATCATTACTATTGCTGGGTTCTTGGAGTGGCCACTGCCCTGAAATTATTAGTGAAGTATCTCCATCGGATGTTTAAGTTTAAGTATTTGTCTATACCTGCAGGAACTACAGGTCAAATTCAACCCCTGGATGTATTTGGTTTTAGAATATGGAAAAATTTCATTAGAAGATTTTCTGATCAAGTTATTCTCTACCAGTACGATATTAATTTGCATCAGCGAGATAATATTTTAAAATTGCAATCCTTAACGCATAACCAGTTGTCTTCCCCACGAGTTATTAATGTTTTTAAATACGCCTAGTTTGCATCTGGATATATAGAGGAGAGACCAGAACAGTTTGAAAATCCCGTTGAGGTTTGCTTTTTCAATGAAAAACCTACGTGCGATATCTGTGGAGATATAGCTGTTATAACTTGTGCATAGTGTAAACAATCGTTATGTTTAAAACATTTTTTCCATAATTTTCATTATTGCCAACAATATATTGAATAAAAAAAGTAAATAAATAAAAATTAAATTAATAATGTAGAATACAATTTGTGATAGTCAACCATTCTTTTGTCAGTTACTTTTTAACTCATTATTAATAAATATTTATATAATTATCCTAACTTTTGTGTTATTTAAATAGAATAAGGATAAAAAACATTTTTCTGTAGGAGTATGAAAGTTGTTAGCGAAAATATATTTTCTACCCCAAACTTCTAACTCTTGCTTGTAAGTTCTTACAATAGTACTACCTAACGTATAAAAAAATCATCGTGGGAAATTGCACCAAAATCGACAAACAATTTTCGCAAAAAAAATTAATTTTTGGTGTGGTTAGGGTAGTTAACCCCAGTCACCCCTTAATGTCATATAGGGTTTATTTACTGCGTAAATTTTAATTTACAACTAATTTATGGTTTTCTTCAAAATATTATGCAAAAGTGTAACAGTTTGTCACATTATTCTTAAGGAAAGGGGTTATCTATCATACCCCGTAACTTTGCAGGGGATGGTCAGAGACAAATAAGAAAAAACACGTCATTAATATTTTTAAACGTACTATAAGGATACATAATATCGCTAAAATCGACAGGGTAGTTTTTAAAATATTCCAAAAAACTAGGGGTAGTTTACCCCCTGAAGCCCTCAGATATATATGTGATATATCACTGGAAAGCTCTTTGAAAATGAATATAAGTTTACGTTTACCACATTTCGATAGCTATTTTCATTTTCAGCCTATAAGCGAATATACACTGTTGGAAATAATTCACGAGCACACCCTGTGTAATCTGAACGCGTGTGTCTAGCGCAATAAAATTTGGTATGGAAGTAGTACTAAAGTAGTGTAACTTACTCTCACATGGAGAACGGCACAACTCTGCTGGGAGGAGAAACATCAATAGCGAGATTATCCCCCGTGAGCTTCGCGTACCATCGCTACACGACGTGGCATGGAGTCAATAAGTCGCTGTATTGTAGCAAAAGGGATGGCCAACCATGCCACCTCAACTCGCTTCCATAGCTCCTCAACGTTAGCCGAGGAAGCCGGATAACGTAGAAGTCTCCGACCAGTCATTTCCCAAACATGTTTGATCGGATTCAGATGCGGAAACCGAGCTAGCCATGGAAGCATTCGTATACGGTGCTCTTCCACAAAGGTCTGTACAACACACCCGATGTGCTGTCGTACGTTGTCGTGTATGTATAGCAGACCTGGGAGCCGCCGAACGTAGGGAAGCACAAATGACCGTAGCACCTTATCTAAGTATCGTTGACCCGTCATGGTCTGCTATACACCCAGCAGACGTGTACGTCCACCATGTGTAATAGCACCCCAAACCATAATGCTCGGTTGTCGGTGGATAGGGCATTCTTGCACGCACTGCTCGAGTAGACAATCACCACGTCTTCGACGAACTAAAATTCGCGCATCACCGGTGCTCAATTCGAATCTTGATTCGTCGGAAAACAAAATGTCCCTCTACTCGGCAACCCACTAATGCCTAGCGTTGACCCATTCGTGACGTATGCTGCGGTGCTCGGATGTTACTGGAATCCGCTGTTTCGCACGACGCACGCACAGTCCACTATCTACCAAACGCCGCCGTACAGTTCGCGCAGTGAGTGCGCCTTCCCCTGCCGGTGGCCAAACAGCTCCAAGTTGCCTTGAGGAGGACTCGCACAACGCTAAAGCGCTGAGCACAAGAGCGCGATCCTCGTGTGCTGGGGTCACGCAGGGCCCTCCCGGCCGCAGCTGAAGGTACCTATGTCCTACCTCAGACCATTCTCGCCATGCCTGTTGCACTGCCGATAACGACCGGTCGAGACGACGCGCAATTTCACGGAACGATACACCCTCAATGTGCATACCCTCAAACATTCCTCGCTCAAACTCGCTTAAGTAACGCGATCGCCCATCCATTGCGCACAGAGTACGATAACAATGTGGTTCCTAACACCACACTAAAAACGACCGGTATTTTCCATCCAAGGGTTCCATTTAAGGCCGTAAAAAAATCCCAAAGTTGTGAACATCGCGTGCGCGCGTATACTGTTCGACCAAAATCGAAAAATGACCAATTTCTGCAACTCGAAACGCAAATTAAAATTCATATTTGAGTTTGACGGTCTTAGAATAACCCGTATACAAAAATTTACGGGGGGTGTTTTCATTTAAGGGAGTAAAAAAATCCCAAAGTTGTAAACATTGCGTGCGCGCGAATACTGTTCGACTAAAATCGAGAAATGACCAATTTCTGCAACTCGAAACGCAAATTAAAATTCATATTTGAGTTTAGCGGTCTTACAATTGGAGTAACCCGTATACAAAAATTTACAGGGGGGTGTTTTCATTTAAGGGAGTAAAAAAATCACAAAGTTCTGAACATCGCGTGCGCGCTTGGAAATTTAGAGTTTTTGATTATTAGGTTGAAAATATGTAAAAACGGATGTGAGAGTGTAGGGGCGTAGTCGTTGACTAAAAATGTAGGAATCTCATGTGGGCCAATTGTAGCCTTTGCCTTAAATTTTTTGAAAGATTCAACCATTTCGTCGTAACTGACTTCGGAGATACCAACGGTGACAGCATTAGTATCATAAACAGCGTGATCGTTACCAGTAGGTTACCAAATGATGCAGGACAGTACATAGCCTCAAAATGATCGGCAAATAAGTTAAGTACTGTTGGCAAATCGGACACACTTTCATCGGCCCACTTAAGAGAGCCTGTAGATCTTATATTGTTTCTGCTTATGTTAACAAAACGCCAAACGTTTTTTGGTTCTTTTCCTATGTCAACAGAGATTTGACATAAACTTGTGCGATGATATCTGCAATGAGTTGTTCTATACAATTTATGGTGGTGTTTTTTTAATCTAAGCATTCTTATTAGGTTAATTGAATACCATACAGGATATTTCGACTTTGCATGCTTGTCCTCAGATTTAAGTACGTGAGCGTCCAGGTCGTTGTATAATGCTTCATAAAAAACATTACAGTATTGTTCACCGATGATAACGTAAATAGATGAGTCCAATCGATGTTAAGCTGTGCCTCGTACATGTCAGGCAGATAAGATAACATCTCGAGCTATCAAATGTGTAGGCACCGTTACCGCAATAGTAAATAGTAATGCCGATTGGTAATTATCTTCTCGTACCAATGTAAAGTCTGAGTGTTTAATTTGAAACTCAAGTTTGAGGAAGCAAGTATCAAATCATCCATGACTATGGTATCTAAAGACATATCCAACACTGATTCAATGTAATCGAAGGTGTAACTATACATACATTCCTCCAGGTGTAACAGGTGGGAAATAGCAGACAACAATGTTAAAAGCCGATTTCGTCTTTTTAAAGTCAATCCGTACAGCTTTCAAGTCAATTGATTTAATAGTACAGGAGGCAATCATGATATTCGAAGTAGCAACTCCGGAATTAACAGCCAGTAACATCTCTCCACCCTTATGGAAAGATCGATCACATCTAAAAACGTTATTTCCTTTGGTAACTAGTTTTTCTTAACAATTCTCGGACATCCATTAATGAACTGTATTCTTAAATCATTTTCACCGTATTCAAAATCCGCATCTAACAAGGGAAATGAACAATCAAAGAAAATTTAGCCTAAACTTGTGGATGGGGCTCATTGGAAATAATTTAATTGGTCCTTATTTTTTACCGGATGGTTTAACTAGCGCAGCATACAATGAATTTTTACATAACAATTTAATAGGCCTGCTTGACCATGTACCTTTAGAAAACAGATGTAATGTGGCTTTCCAGCATGATGGATGGCTAGCACACTATTCCCAAAATGTTGAAAATTCATTAAATGAAATGTTTCCTATTGGTTGGATTGGGAGAGGAGATCCAATTCCATAGCCTGCAAGGAGTCCTGATTTGACGCCCCTTGAGTTTTATGTGTGGGGCCACATGAAAGAAAGGGTGTATGTTTACACAAGTCAACTCTGAGGATGAATTAATAGAAAAAATCAAAAACGAAGCATACCTATGTTCTAAAAACGTTAATTACAATTACCCCCCCATAAATTTTTGTATAGGGGTTGTTCTAAGATCTCTAAATTCAAATATGAATTTTAATTTGCGTTTCGAGTTTCATTTTTCGATTTTAGTCGAATAGTATTCGCGCGCACGCGATGTTTACAACTTTGGGATTTTTTTACTCCCTTAAATGAAAACACCCCCCCGTAAATTTTTGTATACGGGTTATTCTAAGACCGCTAAACTCAAATATGAATTTAAATTTCTGTTTCGAGTTACAGAAATTGGTGATTTTTCGATTTTGGTCGAACAGTATACGCGCGCACGCGATGTTCACAACTTTGGGATTTTTTTACGCCCTTAAATGAAAACACCCCCCCCGTAAATTTTTGTATAGGGGTTGTTCTAAGAGTGCTAAACTCAAATATTAATTTTAATTTGCGTTTTGAGTTGCAGAAACCCCTTAAGGGTTACGGTGTTTTGAAAATTGATAAAAATACTTAGAGCTGTGTTCTATTATGTGGTAGAATTTTGCGTAATTCAAAGGTGCCCATCAGGGTAAAAACATTCCTTTTCGGGGGCTGGGGTTGAAAATTTTTTTTTACTGGTTGTAAGCTGTTCTTGAGGGTAATAGTGTGCCGTATGTGAAATTTGGTGACCCAAATCGTAATCGTTACGGAATTATAAATGATTTCAGTTTCTGGCTTGGATTTATGGATAACTTCACACCAGTATATAATTATTTATATGTTCAAATTTTAATGCAATATTATTAAAGACGTGGACCAAATAAGTACACAAGAAATTGGGAGGATGTTGATGCTTACGGAAAACCAACCATAATAAGAAAACCGCTTAAAAAACCAAGAAGTAGGGGCTCGTTAGAAGATGGTTCCGATAATACAGAAATTATTACCGAACAACACGATAATAAACAAAATGAAACCCCTCAATCAACCCCTATTCAAGAAGAACAACCAGAACGCACTGAAAAAGATACTTCGAAGCCTTCTAAACCAGATGTTCCTCAAGAAGAAAAACCTCACCATCAACAACCGTTTAAACATCGCGAAAATAGAGAACCTAAGGAGTCTAGAGAACAATCAAAAAACCACCATTACCAATCGTCTCAACAATACCAAGAAAAGTCATATCAAAACAATAAATCTTCATCTAGAGTCGGAACCGGACGGATTTCAAAACCAAAAAGAGAATTTTCTGATAGCGATTATACAGGGTTTACGAAAAGTCGTCAATTTAAAAGTACCCCGCCACCTCGAGTGCATAATCGCGGTCCTATTGAACGACCCCAAAACGCACCCAGTAAAAATGTTCCTGATTTGGAGAAGGATATGGCAAAGATGAATTTGCATGAAGGAGGGGGTTACAATAAGACGTCTAATACCAAGCAACATAATAACGTACGACAGGGGAGTGTACCCCCGCGTTTGCAAAGTGAACAGAAAGGTTCCAAACGGTATAGTTCGATTCGGCAGAGATCATTGCCTGAAACCAATAATCCACCGTTTGTCCAACACAACACTTATTATGGAAATGGTAAGATTTTTTAATGTTTTTTTTTGTAATCTAATAAAATGCAAAATACAGAGCTTTTATTATGAATTAAAAATTTCATAACTTTCAAAATACACTCAATTCTGTTTTTACGCGACAGATACGTTCCCAAAAAATTCGCGTAAAAGAAAATAGCGGAAAAAAGGTAAAACAAACAAATACAAAAATTATTTTTAATTAGGTACTATCACTTTTCGATTCGCTTTCGTTCTCAAATGGTGCTATTGGTTTAGTGGTTCTAGTTACAAATTCTGTTATTGGTCGTTGTGTTCCAGATTATATAAAATTCCCGAGAACTGCCCATTACTAATTTAATGTCACGTTGAAATTTGGTAGATCTTTACTCAATGAATGATTGTTCAATTTAGTAGCCAGCTGTAGTTCTTTGTTACATCTGAGGTAAGGGAGTGAACCATGTCGGCATTTTCACTGGATTCCATGATATCGGGATCTCAAGTGCAAAAGTAATGATTTAATCATCGGTAAGTGCTTTATCCACTAGTACAGTACCGCTCAAAAGTATATCATATTTTTGTTTTATCTGTGTAACTTTTTTCCTACTTAACTTTTTGATCTAAAATTTTCACACAGTATTTCGGGAGATATTTCACATGTTTTAAACATTAAACACACACCAGTTTTTATAAACAAAATAATTTATCAAAATAACGCAAAATGACAAATTCCAGCTATCCGTTCTGTAGTACTCAGTAACAATTTTATGTGAACACCAACTTCATAGTTGCAAGGGAAGTAATAACTGTGACGCACCGATTTCGATGAAATTTGATATAGCCATAGAATGGACCAAAATAAGGTTTACGTATTTTTTATACGTGCGGTAAAAGCTCTTGAGCCGAGTTTTAGGGGTTGAAAGTTTCGGAAAAGAGTTTTAGTTGTGTTACATCCCTTGTTAGTGAAATATTCCTTGCTGGCCTTGAATCTACGGGGCATAGAATCGATCAAAGAGTCTATGGTCGCCTGATCGATCTTCGCTCACTGCGCCTGTAACTACCGGAAGTTTTCTGGGGACTGGCTGGGCCCGTCCATCACAGTCACTCGACGGTGCGCGACCCAATTGGCGACGTCCCTGGAACGATGTTTCGGGTCGTTGTCCTGTTGGAACACCCAACCCCGACCCATATTTTTGCGTGCCCAGGGAAGCATGTCATTCTCTTCAAAGCCCTTGTACAAGGTGGCAGTCCAGTATTTCCGGAATGTGGATGAGGGAAGCATCCCCACACCATGACGCTTCCTCAGCCGTGCTTTATTGAGATTGGGAGATTTCACGTCGGATTAGCTGATGACGATCACGTGACGCCAGTACGTTTGCGGTAAATATCCGTTTCTCCAAATAGCCGAAAGTTGGTTGACTTTTATGTTTTGACGGTAAAATGTACTTGGCGTACGTGTAATAATCTGCTATGAATGCTACATAACCTTACCTAACCACCGGAACGCCGGCGCCGTATCACCAAATACCCTTCGCAGTAAATTGGATTCGTGACAGTGTCACTCTCCCTCCTTCAAACCTCTCAATACCGATATACCCAAATCTCCCAACCTCTCTCGCACAAAAGGCACCTTAATTACTAGGGATCGATGCAAATGCCAGAGGGACAGCTTATTCACGATATGCCCTCAATTCCAAACATCAGGAACGTGCTCTTGTCGCTCCAGATATCCTGCTATCGGGTTCAGTTGAGGTAAGCATTCGCTCACTCCACGTGTGCATTTCTATTCTTGTCTGACACGAACGGTATCTTCAGTGGTTGTTGCCCAACGAGTCCAGCAGCATTCAGCCTTCTTTTGATGGTCGCCACAGATAGCTGGCGCTACCCAGCGTTCCACAATTCGGTCTTGGTACGGGGCTAACTCATTATTTACGTGCCGGAGATGTCAATCGAAGATTAGAATTTTGTAGATGATATGTAGAAAAATTAAATAATCTGCTGTTTGGTCAAAATGTTATCTGGAGCGATGAAGTCTCTGAGTGTTCAAAGAAGATTGGGGTTCAATGTATGGTGTGCTCTTTTAGATAATAGAATTTTGGCATATAGTATCTACCATAAAAACTTAAACTCAGGGAAATACCTCAATATATTAAGGCAACACATTGAGCCTTTGGTCGACAATTTGCCACTAAATATGTTTCAAATGATATGTTTTCAATATGACGGAGCACCAGCACATAATGCCCGAGTTGTTAGTGAATTTTTAAATACTACTACAAACTCAAGGACAGTAGAATTTAACAGAACTGCTACATCCATTGTTGTGACAACCTACCCGCAAACTACGTCACACTATTTTCCACGCCCAGCTGTTGTTATGGTCTATGTCTATGCGATTGCTGTGTGTTTTTAAAGGTTATATCCTAGACGTATTCCTATTAGTTGTGAAGTTTTATGTTTTTAGACGTATTAATGTCTATCATGTAACCTCTAAAAACACAGACAGTTACCAGGCGTGGCAAGTAGTGTGACGTAGAGTGCGGGCAATCAACCCGTAGTCGACTACAAAAATACAATGGATGTAGCAGTCCTGTTAGATTCTACTGTCCTTGCTACAAACTTTGGTAATAATTGGAAACCATGCTTTCCCTCATGGTATGGTTATCACCATAACAACATTAAGTTTTAAATACATACAAGTTTTAGAAAGAACAAAAAAAAATGATACATTATATTCTATCATAGTATGTATGGTTATCACCATAGCAACATTAACTTTTAAATGCATACATTAGATTTAGATGGAACAAAATGAATTTTTGTTAATTATTCAATAACTATAAGAAATATTCCCCACAAACTATATATATTTGTTATCAGAAGAAAATAACAAATTATTTTAAGTCATAGCCGACTATGGTTTCCATTTAAAAAAATAAAGTTACGTCTAAAATCTCGAAAATAAAAGATGGGAAGAAAATTCTACCTACGCCATTGAATTCTTCGTAAAAAGTTGCCCATATAATGTTTTATTTATAATACTCCATCTTTGATAATAAGTCAGATATTCGCGATTGTCGTTTTTGCAAAATTTTCAGTTTTTGCCGATAGGGCGAAAACAAAAGCCGATAGCTGTTCGGAGTTTTCGGCATTAGCATTTTCTCGAAAAACGAGATCATGACATGTAAGCTACTTTTTTTCTATCTCTTTTAGTTTCGGAGATGGCCTATGTGGACATCGAAATTGGGACACCCTGTACATATTAAAGTAATTAAGTAGATTATTAAAGTGAATTAAAGAACCTTTCAAAGCGAATTAATTAACACAAAGGCGAGACAATGCGTTTTCTTGGAGTAATGGTTTTACAGTGTCGATGTCCGAATTGTTTATCAAATTTTTAACACGCCCTCATAAATATAATCTAGAGGAGTGGGATTTGGCGATCGAACCTGATAAGTCCATTCCAACGCAGGCGCCGGAGAAAATTTTGATGTAACCACTCCTTAACGGTACAATGAGGTGGCGCTCCATAATGTAAGTACCACGTTTGGAGTCTTGTTTCATATGAAACATCGTCTACTAACTCTCCCAGACTTTCCAAGTGTTCCAAATAACTAAAACCATCATGTCTGGAAGGTATAAAAACTGGTCCAATAATGAAATCACCAACAGTTCCAGCCCATACGTTTACGTGGTATTGTAGGTGCCCCACATTTTCACCTTGCGCTCATCAAGCATTTTCTTAACTGTCTTCTGCAGCTGATTGTACACCCTATTGTATCGTAGAGCTCTCGTTTGGGTCCATCTCTTTATTGCGCGATTTGTCGTCCTTATTAATCTTTTCTCTTTCATAGATAAACCTAATTTGTTTTCTTTTGCTGATCAGAAAATTATTGTTGCTTCTTTCGTAGCCTTCTTAATGGTGGCAGTCAGTCTTTAAACTTCATGGGCTGAGCCGAGCGCACATGAAGCTCTTGACTCGTGGGCGCTCGGCTCAGCCCTTTTAGCCAGCGGCATATCGGATCTCACAACAGCGCTTCACCTTGAGTGTGCATTTCCCAAGATCACGACTGTACATCCTGTTCTTCCTATAATATCTTTGACAAGACGTATTCTCCTAATCTGTAAGAGAATTTAAGTCCTAGCAGTATTCGCTGCACCTGAATTCTCTGCAATTACAGGAAAGTAATCTGAACCTACTTCAAACTTCGTTTCAACATTCACTTCTTTTATAATTAATATGTCGAATATATTGAAAGTTACTCATCCTAGACCAACCCCCTTGGATGTAGTTTCATGTGAGGTTGGTTAAACCACAGGTGGTATAACCAAAGCACTTAGGCCCCAACGGTCCCTTTGTACAGGGTGTCCAAATTTCGATGGGTTTGCAGGGTATCTCAGTTATTATGAAAGATAGAAAGTTGCGGCTTTCGCGAACCTGAGCTACTTTTTTGTGAAACTTACAATGGCACAAACCAAATTTTCATAACCCTCTTCGTTTTTGATATACAGGGAGTGTTTAAAATTTACGATTTTCAGATACCTCCTGTATCTCGGCTATCCGGAAACTTAGTAACAAAGTAAAAACGGGTTCTAATAGATTTTTTCACGTGGAATCCAATGGTGCATGTAGAATTTTTCTAGTCATCACGGTTTTTGAGTTATAAACACAACTCAAATACTGAATACTCAATTTCTAAAATACTCAGCTCTTTATAACTCAAAAACCGTGATGACTAGAAAAATTCTACGTGCACCATTGGATTCTACGTGAAAGATCTAGTAAAACCCGTTATTACGTTTACTGATAGCCGAGATACAGGAGGTGTCTGAAAATCGTAAATTTTGAAACACTCCCTGTATATCAAAAACGAATAGGGCTACGAAAATTTGGTTTGCACCATTGTAAGTTTCACAAAAAAGTAGCTCAGGTTCGGGAAAGCCGCAACTTTTTATCTTTCATAATAACTGAGATACCCTGCAAACCCATCGAAATTTGGACACCCTGTACATCCTCACGGTTTACTTCGGCCATGTGTAGGTCTATTTGGAGGAGTGAAAGATGTTCGAAGATGGCATCCGATCCGGCTGATACCGCTTCTCGCCTCGCCTTCAGCCGGGCTGGTACTCCAACGCCCAGCAATTTGAAGACGACCCCCAAGCCGGGCTGGTACTCCAACGCCCAGAAACTTAGGTGCATGGCTGAGTACCGCTCAAAGAGCGCAGACGCGCTTTCAACCCGTTTTTACATTCACAACCTCCAACTACACATGTATCTGACGACAACCAGAGATGTTAGACTGGTTGCCGGGACCGACGGCTTAATGTCCCCTCCGAAGGACGGAGAGGCGACTCGGCGTGTATTCACTGGGAATCGAACCCAGGACGCCGGCGTGGTAACCCGAGAGCTTACCACGGGGCCATTCGCCCCCCGACCAACCCCCTTTTTGGAGGACCATTTCTTCCGGTCTCGTTTGCCTTGACTGCGCCTTTCACACGTGTTGGACTGCATCCCCCGCGAAGTCACTCAGGTTATCAGGAGTCAACACAAGGAGGTGAGAAGAAAGTTGGGTAGGAGAGGTAACTTGCGAGTGGTATAAAAGTTTTGTTAATTATTAACTTTGTTTCCTACACATGTTCATTTATTTGTAGGCCACAGATGTCGGCCAAGCCTATCGGCGCGATATAATATTTTCGGCAGAGTTTTGATGGCGATGTCAATGTCCTTCGCGTAGGCGAGCAGTTTTGCGTGCCATCCTTGCGTAGGGGCCATAATAATCTTCTTCTCAAGTATCGTTCCAATGATAACTTAAAAAAGTCATTTTTGTGTTATTGTCGTATACTTAAATGTTTTGGCGTTTAAGTGGAATTATAGAGATTTCGAATCGGTCATTTCCGGTTTCGTATTGGCCATTATTATTATTATTGCTTCCGGGCTGAGGGGAGCGGCAGCTCTTGTCACCGCGACCTATAATATCTATTGTAACTTAAGCGCTCCAAAGGTTTAGGGCAACTGTAGGTCCTTGATAAATCTGAGTATTGCCACGGTATTCAAACGTTTTGTTCCTTTATGTCGGTAGGTGTTAAGCGAATTTTACCGAAAATTTTATGCCTCTGGCGGCGCATTCACACGTCGTTCCAAAGTGGACAAGTTTGATCAGCAGCTTGTCCAATGCGGAAGAGGTGGTATTTTAGGAGCGCATGGTGCAGGAAGCCTGAGAGCGACCTTAGATCCCCTTAGCTGAGGGATAAAACCTCTTTGGTTTTGTTTTGCAACGGAGTTATCATACACTCTTCGCCTCTCTGTGACCTAGAAATTCATTCCAGCGTAAGGCTACCTTTGGGGCCTCCCAACTATTGATTACTTGTTTTAAGTGGCGTTTTTGTAGTCCACAGCCGGGTTTCGTATTGGCTAAACATTAATCTTGCGAATGAGATATTGTTCATGGAACTCGGTTGAAGGGTTCTCAACTCCGCTGTTATCATATTATTAAATGAAACTCTGAAAATTAATAAAAGTAAAGGCTCTGTATTAAGATATATATTTTTAAATTCACATTTATTACGAATATTCTTTGTGTTCCAAATTTCATTCCTACCATTGAGATTCTTTTGGTTCAAATGACAAAAAAAGAATTAACATTGATGTAAATAATTATGGTGGGCACGAAATTTGGTAAAAAAAATATGTTAATTTATTTATTTTTTTTTTAATTAAACCCAACTATTTCTTAGCGAATTGATGCAACAATAAATTACCATACATGCACATTTTTAAGCCATAGGTTCCTTGACTAGGAATCGCCAAACGTGCTGATCATGATCAAATCCGACAAATAACATTTTAGAGAGTTTTACTAGAGGGGATTTACAGCTTATAAAATGAATATATTGATATATTGCTTCATCAATTTGCTAAGGATATCTTACGTGAAATTGTTTACTTAGTTGCTTTTTGTATTTTTGGAAATACAGAATATTCATTATGTGAATTGAAGAATGAAACAGGTTGGATTGAAACATATTTGAAGATTCTGTATAAGTCTATGTAGATTTTATGTTGTTTAATTTTGTTCTTTTTGTTTTATTTTTTTTTATAAAAAAAAACAAAGAATACAACCAACAAGGTCAAACATCACAGCCAACACCCTCACAAACCAATATAATCCCAAACAATACAATACACCCAACAACAGCTGCCCAATTATCCCAAATGCCAAACCCGACCCTAACTCCTATACCGCCTCAGGTTCCGGTCACAACGACCCCAATTTTACAGGGTCCGCCTCAGTACGCCCCTCCGTTCCCGCCAGCCCCAACCTTTCTGCAGCCTGGGGTGTCCCCTGCCTCATTTATACCGCCGCAGAACACGCCTATTATTAACTACGGCCAGCCGCAGTACCAGGCACCTTTCCAAGGCTACCAACAACAGTTCAATACTGTTGTAAGTAACTGAAAGAAAAATCGCTCGGTTTTATTGCGAAGATCTATTTTGTTGATTTTTAAAGAACCAACCGACGGAACTGTATCAGCCTCAAGGCGGCATAACGTACTATTCGCCTCAGGAACAACAGGCCGCGCAACGGTCGGTGCCTCAGAAGAGACCAAAGGCTGCAATTCCGATCGTAGCTCCGCCTGAACATCGCGGGAGAGGACGGAAACCCCAACAACAATTGGCCGAAGTGGGACAGCAGGACCCGTCTGGTGAACCTGGTCTTGAAGCGACGATTATGGAAGGTGAAAAGTTTGAGGATGCGGTCACGGCTCAATGATCCAATTAATTTACTTAAATATTCGTTGCTTCCTTTATTCGCATAATTAGCATACATATTATAATTAATTGGTGAAGTAGAAGAGAGCTATTTATTTTTGTTTATAACTTATTTCCGAAATTTTAGAGGGACAATTCCATATCAAATTTAATAATAATATTAATAATTGATTATATATTATGGTTTAGTTATTTATTGGATATCTATCGCTTTTTTTCTTTTTCAATTATGTTATTATTTTATGAACTTCATCTTAGAATTTCATAACGGTGTTTTCTTTTATATTAATAAGAATGATACTATATATATCGTGAGTTATTAAATATATTATAAAAAATGTATATGCATAAAGTTGTATTTATTATTTTTCCTTGGAATAAAACAATAACACTAAAATCCTTTTTTTATGGATAAGGAAGTATTAGAAAAACATAGTTTATCAAACTTGATTAATAACAATTACAGTGAAATTTCCCTAACTCGAACTTCTATATCTCGAATTATCCTTTAAGTCTAGTAATTTTCGTATGCTCAAGCGTTTTACCAGGTTTGAAGTGTGTTTTTATCTCTATGTGGAATTTCTCTGCAACTCGAACTGAACTACTATAGGATTACTTTACCTTTAACTTATATATCAGAAGATATCTGTAAAATCTCTCAGAGGTTTGTGACCAAGCACCAAGATATGATACACTAATCTTTTTAAGACAGTTTAATACCAAAATAGGCAAAGAACAGTCTATTACAAGAATACCGGGGAAACATTCACTACATGAACATACTAATGAAAATGGCCGTAGAGACATCATTTGATTGCTTGAAAATCCACATCAATGATTAATAACGATAACCAACAGCTGACGAAGTCAAGGCAGCAATAATGAAGTTGGAGAATAGCAGGTTCCCTGGAGATAATATCTCCATCGAGTTAATTATAAATGGAGGCGGCATACTTATCTCTAAGCTACATAACATAATATGTAACATATGGAAAAATGAGGTAATGACACTGGAAAGAGAGACTGGAAAACTGGTCTTATATGCCCAATACACAAAAAGGGTGGTAAATGAAGTTGTAGAAACTATAGGCCTATTATGCTGCTAAACACCGCCTTTAAAATTGTATGCCTCATTATTTACGAAATAATAAGAATAGTTGCCAAAGAAATAATAGGAGAATACCAATGCGGATTCCGGAATGTAAGAACTACAAGTAATCAACTATATGGAGTATGGAGAATTAGGTTTAGCCGTCTTATAATAAGAGACGCACGGCTAAACCCGAATGTTTTTAGTTACAGGTCTAATGTTAGTTTTAGTTTTAATTGTTATTCAGCGTTAGATTGTTATATATTTCTATTGAACTAAAACTAGACCTTCATCTACAGGATGTTTCATAATATATGCGCAGGACTTCAGGATGTGATAGCTTGTCCAAAAATTTGAAACAATGTTTCTATCAAGTAACCCTCTAAAATGCACCATTTTTGAGATACAGGTGTGGAAATTTAATTAAAAAAAAAAATCGTTTTTTGCGAATATCTCCGGAACCGTTTATCGCACAGAAAACAGCTTTGTAAGCATTTTCTATTCATAATAAGCTAAGTTTTGTGCGAGAAAAAAAATTTTTAAAGTCACAATTGATGAAGATCTTGAAGGGGTAGTGGTCCCCTTCACGGCCCATTTGAACCGTCAATGTTTTCTGCACAAAAGAGGTACTGTAGGTAATAAGCTTTAAAGTTGACCGTTTTCTAGAAAAATCAACTTTTATGTTGAAAAACATGGTCAGTTTTTAGGAGTAAAAATTTTATTTTACAATTTAAAAAAAAATTATGTAAATGTTAGAAGAAGTGTAGCGTCATGTCTACAAAATCCATTCCCTAAATCCAAGATGCCACGATATATTTTTCCTTGGTCAAACAAAAAGATTTAGTGACCTTGCTTTTTAAAATATATCTTGGCATCAAAAATTTGTTATTATATAAAATCATTGTTCCTTTCAATATACTCGTTGAAACAAGACGTATAAAACACTGCTCGACAAATTTAAATTTTAATTACATTTTATTTATTATGTTTATTTATTTATTTCATGTGGGTACAGAAACAGGTCGAACCCAATAATACTGTACCACAAACAACCAATTGTATACAAATAAAATAGAATTACAGTTCACAATAATAATAATAATGAATTAACATTAATGGTACAAAAGTGATTGAAAAGGAAAAAAACTAAAACTAAGTTTAGGTGATATAAATATATCATATATATCAAATATCAAATGAACGCTCGAGGCAACACACCAACTGCAGCAAAGAGCAGTTTTTTAAATGCATAGAAAGAATGCTGAAACAGATCTATGTTAACACGATTTGCCGATCTTGCCATTCTCAATAAAGGAGAGTTGACAGGCATTGGTTCTAGGAGTAGGTGTCATAAATAGAAAATCAAAGCGAAGTAATCTCGGAGGAACGTGAACACATATAGAACCAACAAGCATTGGAGAATCACACTTGTTGTTCAAAAGTTTGTAAAAATATAATATATCCCCACAAAAACGACGCTGGTTGAGGGTTAACATACGAAAAGAAGTGCAAGTTGATTCGTAATCAATGTATTGAATGGAAAATTTAAAACAAAGGTATTTGAGGAATTTAGATTGAATACGCTCAATTCTAGATTTATACGAGAGATACTGAGGATTCCAAACGACGCTGCAGAAGTTAAGTGTGCTGTAAACATAGGCAAAATAGAGATTTCTAATTGCAGCAATGTTTGAAAAAGCTACCGTTGATCTCATAATAAATCCTAACATACGCCAGGCTTTGGAGACAACAGTATCGATATGTTTATCAAATAATAATTTATAATCAAATGTAACACCCAAATCTCTAATAAATGAGACACGTTGCAACCTCTCACCAGCGACGCTATAATTGTAGTGGATTGTGTTCACCCTCCTAGAGAAGGAAATAACATTACACTTTGATAAGTTTAATGAAAGGCGATTATTTAAGCAAAAAGCATGTAGATTGTTTAAGTCAGATTGCAGTTTAGAACAATCAAGAGGTGAGGAGATACGGAGAAAGAGTTTTAAATCGTCAGCATACATTAAACATTGGGCATAATTAACGACGTCAAATATGTCGTTAACATAAATATTAAACAGTAAAGGGCCCAGATGGCTACCCTGTGGAACACCAGAAGGAACCGACACAGGATTAGAGAAAAAACCATTAACCGAAACAATCTGGCATCTCTCCTTCAGATAGGAAGCAAGCCATTGCAAAAGATTTCCCTGAACACCAAACTTCTTTAGTTTGAACAGAAGTAAGTTGTGATCCACCCGGTCGAAAGCTTTACTAAAATCCGTATAAACTGAATCAACCTGACAAGAATCATCCAGAGTAGATAAGATATACTGGGTATATTCAAGCAAGTTACTCTCCACCGAGCGACCAGCAAAAAAACCATGTTGTCTAGAATTGATTTTAGACTTAAGGGCAAAGAATAGACGTGCATGAACTACTTTCTCAAACACTTTCCCAAATGCTGGCAAAATAGATATGGGGCGGTAATCGGATATAGCACCACGGTCCCCAGATTTAAAAATGGGAAGAACAAAAGCCCGCTTCCACAATAAAGGAAAGACACCCATTATCAATGAAGCATTAAATAAAATAGTTAAAGGAAGGGACAGAGAGTGTGAACATTCCTTGATTAAAATTGATGGAATACCATCAGTACCTATACTGTCTGTAACCCTGATGCCCATCAGGGCCTCCTCAACCTCAATTCTGTCAAACTGCATCTGACTCAAAGGAAGGGTATCCATTTCTATACAATCTACATTCTGCTGGATTGGAGCAGGATCCACAAAAACCGAAGAAAAGAAATCAGCAAACAATGAGCATACTCCGACACCATCGCCGACAACAGTTCCATTCCATGACATCGTAGAAGGAATGACATCCGCACGCTTCTTAGACTTAGTAAAAGCCCAAAACACCTTTGGATCAGATTGCATATTACTTTCAGCTCTTCTAACATACTCCATGTAATTGTGATGGATTAGATACTTTGCACGACTCCTTAGAATTGAAAAAGTGAGGTAGTCAAGTCGGTTTCTAAAACGCTTCCATCTACAGTGCGCCCTCCTTTTCTCTCGAATTACTTTAATGGTACTGTATGAAAACCAACTGGGAAAACCCTTGATAGCTTTGCGTTTTAAAGGGACAAATTCGCGAATAGCAGTATTAACATAGTTATAAAAAATTTGAACAGCGTCATTGATATCACGACCAGCGAGCTCTGATTCCCAGTCAATTCCATTAAAGTACTCATTCAATTCAGGAAACCGGGCTTTTCTAAAACAAAAAGCATCACCATGATGTATAGATAATGAACGAGTAAATGAAATTGAGCAGGAAAACTTTAGAGTGGAGTGCGCACTGTCCTCAGGAAGCAATGGATCACTACAAAGAGATAATTGATGTACATCGGCAGAATTCGTAATAACAAGATCAAGTGTGTTTACATAAGAATTTTTATGATAATTTAGTTGGTTAAGTCCGCAAAGGGAAAGAACATCCAGAAATTCACTGTTGGGAAAGTTAAATCCTATTAACAATCCCACAAGCAGTAGCAAAATCAATCGTTAACTTCATAATTGCGAAATAAAAAAAATGAAAAAATGATACAACAGTTGTCTTTTCAAAATTCTCCAAACCGTAAAGGTAACGCATTTTGCTCATTTCAGCAATCCTCCTGTCAAAATAACAATTACTTTGTGCCTGTAAAAAGTAAACTTGTATTACAAACTTAAAAATGAATTACACAACTGCTGAAATGTGCGAAATTAAACGAAATTAAAAAAGAAAGACATCCTGATTGCCCAGTACCACACCATAACTTGTTTCTACGCATTCACCAACGACTATGGGGACATGGAAGTTTTAAAACGAATACTGCTGATAATGGGCGGCCTATGGAAGTTGCAAATCTCCAAGTAGAAGAGGCTGTCCTCAACGAAATTGATGAAAATCCGACAACAAGTACCAGAAAAATTGCTCACAAATTAAACCTATCTGACTCGACGGTTTGGAGAATTTTGAAAAGGCAACTTTTGTGTCCCTACCATATCCAAAGAGTACAAGCCTTATTGCTAAGAGATTTTCCGCGAAGATTGGCTTTTTGTATGTGGATGCAAGATAAAATAGCTCAAAATCATGAGTTTGGAACCGAAGTTCTGTTTACCGATGATCCGCATGAAATTGCAGAAGGCTAATTGCTGATTGTAGCCTTGGCTTGGAACGTCGTGGTTTTCCGTGTACAGTC